ATTAACCATTAATCAAAATAAGCACGTGCTTAGGGCATCAAGGAGGGAAAGGGGCACCAAATACCCAATTAGAAATCATTAATACGAAAAGTACCTAAATTAAAATGTCAAGATTCCATCTAGGTAAAACAACATATTGCATTCTACGTACCTAACAACGGGGACGTTTGCATTGGGAAAATCGACTCTTCCAGCTAGGTTGAGTATTTCAGTGAGTGATAACGCTAATATTTCATTAAAAACGAGTTAATTTTGGGAGGACCGTCAATGGAAAAGTTTACTCTTCGTTGGACTGGAAATTGCCATTGAAAAAATCTGAATTTCTCTAGTATATCATTAAAAATATGTTAATTTCTGTTCAATCCGTTAAAGTTTATTTAATATAACGGCTATTCGTGTAAATAGTTAAATATGTAGGTACTTATTGCGAGCAAATTACATAATTATGATATCTGATAGTACCTACCGCCATTGGTCTCCGGTCTGGGTCTTCGTCTAAAGCTATAGTGATTTATTTTCTGCTTTAATAAATAATTTACTCACTTCCGTTTCCGGTCAAAATCCATGGTGTTGTTGATTGCATTTTTCTCCCATAAATATCGTTTCTAATCGTGCTTGATAGTGGAGTGTAGGCACCATGACGACAGCTTATGGGCCCAGTGAACGTCTGTTATTTGAATTGAAAAGCCAAGCAGGTGAGGAAATGGAAAACCAGATGTTGCAGTACTTGTGTGAAATTTATAGGCCAGTCTTATGACAATGCCAACATGTCTGGGCGTTATAAAGGGATGCAGCAAAAAATTGGAAATAAACTAGTTTGTTCTCTCTCTCTCTCTTTCTCTTTATGTGTGTGTGTGTGTGTGTGTGTGTGTGTGTGTGTGTGTGTGTGTGTGTGTGTGTGTGTGTGTGTGTGTGTGTGTGTGTGTGTGTTCCCTATGCAGCTCATTCACTAAATCTGGTAGGCCGAAGTTCTGATGACTGTTATCAAGAGACAGTTAATTTCTTTTCTACAGTATAATTACTCCAAAATTCTTAAAAAGTTTTATTGGAAATGAAAATGTCTTAAAATCCCTCTTTGATACCAGATGGGAGGCACAGACTCTGGCAACAGCAGCAATATAGAATTTTTTCCCTAAGATTTTAGAAGCACTAGAACATATAGTGGAAGACCAGTTGCAAAAGGGAGACACAAGAAGATAAGCAAATGATATTGCAGATAAAATGCAAGAGCTAGAATTCGTTTTCATGTTCAATTTTTGCAATGAGATTTTGCAAAATTTTCACAGAGTATAAGTCAAGCTCTGCAAAATGGGGATGTGGACAGATATTTATGTATCATCAGGTAACCATTTTAATTGTTGACATATTTAAAACCTGAGGAGAAATATATAGAGAAATAGCAAAGAGATTTTCTTTTCTAAGTGAAGTACCACTACCTCATAATGTCACTTCATCTATCAACACTTAAAAGATATTCTCAGTGCTGCCAAAAGCTTATCAATTCTTACTCAGAAGATTTCAACAATTATTTCTCAGCTGAACTTCAGCAATTTCATCCATATGCGCGCCATGAATTTCATAAATTCAGTGAAATAAAAAATGTAAGAACAAGATTCAATCATGCTGAACTTAATATAATACTTGTAGTGTGTGTCTATAAAATACTTGTAGAAGATAATATTAAGTGTGTGTCTATAAAATACTTATAGGAGATAACATTAAGTGTGTGTCTATAAAATACTTGTAGGAGATAACATTCTGTCTTTCCAAATGTAGACATTAGCTTTCGTATTCTTTTTAACATTAATGGTTGCAAATTGTTCAGCTGAACGTTCATTTTGCTCAACTGAAACATATTAAGAATGCGTAAGATCGGTTTTAAGAATTGATCAAAGACTTTACAGTTTTAAAAAAAGCAAAAAGGAAACTTCAATTATAAGTGAAACAAATATTCAAAAATAAACATAATTTTCTTTCTTGCTGTTAAGTTTTGTTTAATTTTGATAGATGAATTTTGTCTGGTTTATTGTTTATATTTTGAATTACATATATATGGGGCACCAAAGTCTTAGTTGAGTGATAATAATAAAGAACAATTTATTCAGTTTGAAAGAAAAATAAATTCACTTTCTAATACCATCTGAATATTTACTGAATGATAGATGAATAACTGCATAATAATCCAGTTATTTATCTAACGTTCTATAAATATTATAATAAACCAAACATAATATAAAATAGTTTACCCTAGTCGTCTAAAAGAAAACGAGATTTCGATTCTTCATAGAAAACGTAAAATATTTAGGGTAGGCTACTTTATTTGTTTAAATAACCCTTGAAATTAAATACAAATAAATAAGAAGACATAATAATACACTTATAGCAGTAAAGAGACTAATAGTATGATATATATTTTTTAAGAAAGGGGCGTAACAATTAGCAATAACTAATGAAAAAAAAAATTGTGTGTGTGTGTGTGTGTGTGTGTGTGTGTGTGTGTGTGTGTGTGTGTGTGTGTGTGTGTGTGTGTGTGTATGTGTGTGTGTGTGTGTGTGTGTGTGTGTGTGTGTGTGTGTGTGTGTGTGTGTGTGTGTGCATGTGTGCGTGCGTGCGTGTGTGTGTGTGTGTGTGTGTGTGTGTGTGTGTGTGTGTGTGTGTGTGTGTGTGTGTGTGTGTGTGTGTGTGTGTGTGTGTGTGTGTGTGAGTGTGTGTGTGTGTGTGTGTGTATGTGTGTGTGCTTGCGTGTACGTGCGTTCTTTTGTGTGTACATTTTTTTTTTTTTTTTTACGAAGAACATAAGAAGAAGAAGAGAAGAACAGAGGTTGAAGAAAGAGGAGAAGATAAAAAGTAAAGAAAAAGACGAGGACACGAGAGACATATAACACCACGGTAAAGCATAGTAGCGGAAAAGGTATGAATAATGAATGAATAAGGAAAAGGAATGAAGAGGGGAAACTTAAAAGTCAAGCAGTACCAAAGGGTAGTATGGTTGTGAAAGGGTGGAGAGAGTGAGCTGTTTTGGTATGTTTTTTAGAAGGGGAAGGAATGAAGGGGGTAGGACACTTAGATCAAATTGATGAGGATTGATTGTGGGGGCGGGGGCAGTCAGGGAACTGAGAATAAGTGAGGAAAAGCAGGAGTATGCATTGCTATAAAGTGGGAACAGAATAGCATGATATATGGGACTGAAAGAGGAATGAGGTATATAGAGATCAGATTGTGACATAGAGATAGGAATGCGTGAGGCGAGTGTTCCCAATGCATAATCAGCCGAGAGCAGTTTCCCAGAGGCTGTACTTATTGAATGGGTTTGACCAAGGAGGAATGGAAGGTTTTACGTTATATAGTTTATTAATGGTAGAACCAGAAAGACTGCCAGCGGGTGAAGAGATAGGTTCTGAAGTGAGGGTAATAGTCCAAGGCTGATATACATGAAAATCTGGGTTAATGAGATGTGGACAATGAGGAAAAATTTACTATTTTATGTTATATTTCTAGATAGAATAGTTTATCCTGAATCTTGTGGACAAGAGGTTGGTTAGCTGTAGAGTTTATATGAGAGTTTTTGGCATCAGTAAAAATTATGAAGGACGAGGAAGGAAGGGAAGACATGAGTTCTAAGGGTTATATATAGTTCAGTTGTAAGGACGCTGGATTCAGGTGGAAGTGGAATGTTATAGGAAGGAAAGATTAAAGTAAAACCAGTGTCAGATGGGAATTTGAAGAAGATGATGAAACGGGAAAAGTATGGTGATAATAATAGTGATAATGGTCTAGATTTACTCAGGTTTAAATAAGATGAAGGAATAACAGTATGAAGAAATGATGGAAGAAAAAGAAAAATGAGCTAGAATAAGATAGAAAAGAGAAGAAGAAAGAGGAGAAAGAAAAGAAAAATGAAAGTAATGATGATAAAAATGTATATATAATAATCATAACAAGTATGAAGATAACACCAAAAATAGCAATAATAATAATGATAATAATAATAATAATAATAATAATAATAATAATAATAATAATAATGATAATAATAACAATAATAATGATAATAATAGTAATAATAATAATGATAATAATAATGATGATAATGATAATTACAAGAATAATGATAATAATAAAAAAAAAAAATGATGATACTGATAATAACAATTATAATAATAAAAATAATAATTATGATAATGATAATCATACTAATACTACTAATAATAAAACCAATAATAATGATAATAGTAATAATAAGAATTATATTAATAATTATAATAATAGTATTAATAATAATAATGATAATAGTAAAATAATAAAAATAATAATTACAATGCAGTAATGATGGTAGATCTTAAAACCGTTTTTAATAAATGCTGGAATCAAAATATGATTTGATATTAGACTAAACAATATTCACATATTTTCTCCCTAAGTATGTTTTGTTCAATGATTTTCAAATTCATTCTTTTTCTTAAAACCTTTCTCTTTAAAACACCAAAAGCAAGAAGCTTGTACTGGAATTTAGTCATATGAACTCAGATTAGCGAGGAGTATAACTAAAATAAGAAAATGTAAGTTTACCAGGTATTGCAAACACGAAAAGCACATGTCATATATATTCAATGTCTTTATGGTCAAATGTAAAACTCTCAGATTTACACATAAATAGGCACACCAAACTTAGAAGTGATTTAAAAAAACTGAAAACAAGATGAATACCAAATATTTGCTTTTCTGTGATGAACTAAATACAACAGACCTTATTGCAAAAGCAGTGCTATTTCCAAATTATCTTATGGTTTCTTGGGATGTGAAAAATACCCTTTAATTATCTATTACTCTTACATCTACCATAAAACTTCCCTATAACTGTTCTTAATGAAAAAAAACATTTTTTTCCTTTTTCTTTGGCTGCATTCAGTACATAGAACAATCAATAATTTCTTCTGTATGCTGAAATTACAATATATAGAAAAGGAATAAGAGAATAAGAAGGATATACAAACACAACATTTTACAATATTTCTTCTCCTTTATTATTTCATTTGTAACATGACTAGAAGATATCACTGGGAGGGGGTGTGTTTATCACATATGGGTCAGATAATTACCTATTTTTAGACATGAAATAAACTTGATACCATTGGTCCAATTATATATATATACATATATATATAAATGTATACATACATATATATATATATATATATATATATATATATATATATATATATATATATATATATATATATATATATATATATGGTATATCAAACATTTGTGTAGTGTATCATATTTCCAAGACATGTATTTATATAAGTTCATACCATACCATTCTAAATTTCTTTCTTGAGTAAATCTACCCTTTTTAAGTTATATGCGTAAGAAATCATCATATAAATTCTAACTACATCAAATACATACACTATAAACATACATATATATATATTTACTCTTATTAACAGCTAAAAATCGCTTTCCTCTTCTAAACTGTGGTTTTACCAATCTTGAAAGGGACTCTTTAGAAGGGTCTCGGTAACTACTAAAGATACATCAAATGTGGATTTTAGGGCTGTTTCGGCTCTCAAAGGCGACACTCGAATCAGAATTTCTATCATGCTATTTATAAGCTTTTTTCCCTTTCATTAAATGAGAGGATCCAAAAAATTAGGAACAATAATTTCTTGATAAAATACGATAATGTTAAAGACGAAAAAAAAAGAAAAAAGAAAAAGTTTCTTGTATACACTCTACCTACTTAGGCAACCAATAAAGATCTGGAGATAAAATGTCTACTAAATACTATAAAAATAAAAAAACCATACAATACATATATATATAAAGCTGAAAAAAACTAACAGCATACTATTCAGAACACCTAGTAGAGAAGTCATACTTGAGATGACACTTTTCTGCTATCCGACATAAATTAACCTAACGTCTATAAAATAATATTAGCACCTATAAAATATATAAAAATAATCTGTGATTAGTTTCCTGAGGTTAATGGTAATGAAGAAAAGAGATTGTAGTGTGTGACACTCACATGAAATGAACAAGAAATGGAGTTAAATGAACGGTTGTAAACTTTTGTGGAATTTTGCATGAATCAAGCATGTCCATTTTCACAACATAGTAATGTAAAATGAATACCAGTAATGTAAAATACTTGTTAATCTGTGCTTCATTGCTTCAAATACAAGAACTCTGACTGTATGACTATCTTGATATCCAAAGATTCAAACGAATAATCTATTACAAGTAAGACTATCCTGATATAATCTCATTAATAAAGTACGAGAAAAAAACAGTCTAGGACACAAGCTGTGACCAACAGACTTATGCACTTTCTTTAACCCAGAATGAAATAAAAGAGAGAAAAGAAAAGAAAAGAAAAGAGAAGGAAGAAAAGAAAGGAAAAGAAAAGAAAAGAAAAGAAAAGGAAGAAGAAAAAGAAAAGAATAAAGAAAAGAAGAAAAAACCCTAATACACAGGCCATAAAAGACTCTGCTGCTGGTACCAGTCTTTCGCACGGTCAAGGGGATTCTTGTTCTTGACGAGCGCCCGGACGGCCTCCTGTATCTTGGCCTCGTTCTTGCGGAGGTACAGGGACGTGTCCTCCATCATCATGGCCAAACGGTCGGCAGCAATCTCATCTAGACCAATTTCATCGCTGAGGTATGGATTGAAGCGGAAGTACACGTTGCCTGGTAGGAGGTCGTGCATGGTTGTGTGAACACCTGCATGGAGATAAAAAGTGTTCCATATATATATATAAAAAAAGAATAATATGACAGGCTACCAAATGACATAAAAAAAGGACAAGAAATAACAAAATATCCAGAAAAGGCACAATATTTCAAAATTCTTACACATACTTTTAGTTTGTCAGTTCACAATGATGATGATGATGATGATATTGACAATGATGATGGTGGTGATGATGATGTGGAAAAGAAGGAGAGAGAAGAGGAAAATAAGGAGTAAGAGGAAGAAAAGGAGAAGGAGAAGGAGGAGGAGGGGAGAAAATGAAAATGAAGGAAAAGTAAAGGCAGGATGAGGATGAGGATGATGATAGAAAAGAAAAAGAAGAAGTAGGAAAGGTTATGAAGAAAAAGAAGATGGAGAAAGAAGAACAGGCGGCAGGGAAGGAAAGGAAGGAAGAAGAGGAAGAGAAACAGGAGGAAGGGAAGGAAAAGAAAGAGATTACAAAAGCTGAACAGGATGAACAAGAGTAAATGGGAATAAAGAGCAAGGGAAAAAGAGGAAGAAGAGTAGAATCAAATTCAAAGGAAGAAAGAAAACAATAGGAAGAAAGAAGCAGGAAAAGAAATAAGAGGAGGGGTAACAGGTGAACGAAAAGGAGGAGAGGGAGGAGCAAGAGTGATAGGAGGAGGAAGACAATAAGGAAAAGAAAGGAGAAATGACACAAATAAAGCAAAGACAAAATGAGAGAATAAGAATGCAGAGATGAGAAGAAGAGTGCAAAGGTAAAGAAGTGGGGAAAACAAAACCAAAAAAAAAAAAAAAAAATAGAAGACTAAGAAGAACAAGAGGAGACAGACAAAGAAACTGCAAGAAAAGGAAAAACAAATAAACAATAATCAAAAGAAATGATGAAAAAAAGGAATTATAATACTGATGAAAAGGAAAAAGGAAATTGTCAAACTAAAGAAGAAGAAGAAGATTAAAAAGAAGAAGAAAAATGAAAAAGAAGAAGAAAAACGAAAAAGAAGAAAGAAAAAGAACAAGAAGAAAGAGATGAAGAAGAAGAAGAAAAGGAAGAAGAAGAAGAAGAAGAAGAAGAAGAAGAAAAAGAAAGAAAGAAAGACAGAAAGAAGAAAAAAAAAAAAAAAGAGAAAGAAAGAAAGTCAGCTCCCACCTTCAGTGTCAGTGGCACTATTGAGGATTGTGCGTATTCTTGTGCCCCAGTTGATGGAAGACTCGCTGGTGGTGGCAATGGGCTCATGACGGCCGGTGCCCACGGAGAGGACGCACTGCAGGTCAGCCTCGGGCCACAGCTGTTTTGCCTCGTGGAGGGCGATCGCCGTGGGATTGTTGACGAATAAGCCGCCATCCTGTTCGGGAGGGAGTTCGGGTAAGTTTTGTTCTCCTTAAATTTCATATAAGCTAGGATAAAAAACTGAAGAGAGATAGTGAAGAGGAGGAGGAACGGTGGAGTTAAGAGACCAAAAGGGGGAAAAAGTGAGAGATAGTGAAGACGAAGGGGAAGGGTGGAGTTAAGAGAACAAAAGCGGCAAAAAAGTGTTATCCATTGGTAAAGTTACACATTCCGGGAGGATAATCTGCTAAAGGGCACATGAAGCAGACTGCATCTAATTCACGAATCTTCAAATATAGTTTTCATAAATTAATTCATCTCTTACTTGTTGCTTATGTATCTTAATTATTAAACTGTGATGAGATAATAATAAAGTGGAATGTATAGAACTATAAGTACATGTGTTTACTACATATCAATCTAGTGTCATTTTTAAGGAAAATATGGGAAATCCAGAAAGGCTTACCCAGATAGACCTAATAATATAAACCCGAATTTTAGTCAAAGTTTGATAGCAAGCCCTTTTTGTATTTCAGACCCTTGGACAAACGCTACAGTGAACTATGAAAAAATAACAAGATCCCCCCCCTCCACATGGCATTCAACTTGAGACTCACCAGCAGAATGAGATCGCCGATACTATACTCAGAGAAATAGCCTGGCGCGGCAGCCGAGGCCCTCACGGCTTCCCACAGCTTCGGCAGAGAGCTTCCCTGGTAGTGGCCGGTGACCCTGTACGGCAGATTGTAGTTGCGGAAGAGATGGGCCTGGATTCTGTTGGTGTTGGCCGAAGTGGCAACAAGACACATCTGTTGTGGGGTAATGGTGATGACGTGGTTAGAAAACGTTTACTAAGTGAAGAAAGATTTGGCTTGTAAAATTCCCCACTCAAATTCCTCTTTGATCCATATACTCTCTATTTACTACAAAATAGCTCTCCCTCAGTGCTTTGTTCCCAATGTTTTACATAAATATATTAACTATGGAAAAATACATTCCCTTGGTGATAATCACATGAAAAAAACATCTTCCACACACAAAGATAACCACCAAATATAGATAAATATCATAGACACAAACTAAATAAGTCTCAAACTCCCATACCTTAGGGGTATCTATATTTCTCGCAGTTTCAATGAGCGACATCTCTCCCATGTTTTCTTTGAGGATCTCCGTCCATGCGTCGGAGTCGTAGTACGAATTTTTCATGAAGAGACCTGTAGCCCCCTTAAAGGTAGTCTGCGTGAAGATCTGCGTGCTTAGCCTACGGTACAATTTTTCACAATCGTCTAACGAAGACCGGTGGACGCCTGTGGAGAGGGTAGAAGCATATGAGAAAACATAAAAACATACAAATCAAAAGGTCAAACGAATATACAAAAGGAATCTAAATAACAGAAGACAAAGAATTTACTCAATAAAATATCAACTTCTCTCCCATCTCATCTAGTTAACAACTTGAAATCTCTAAAGAAAATATTATAATATATTTGGTTAAATACTAGCCAATGACTAACACAAACTTCTCTCTCATCACCACCGACTCACCTAATAAAACTGCTAAGATGGCGCCTGTCGACACACCGCACACGTAATCGAACAGCTCGTAAATTGGCTGGCCAGCTTCCTCTTCAATTTTTTTCAGTATTTCCAAAGCGACCAAACCTCTGAAAATGTTAGGTATAGCTATATAGCAACAGATATATAAGGATAATTTAAAATATTCTATCCATAAGTAATAATAATGACTAATAATAATGAAATTGATAATAATCCTAATCACAATCATAATAATAATAACAATCATGATAAGAACAGTAATAATAATAATAATAACAACAATAATAACAGTAATAATAAAGATTACAACAATATCAACCATATGAAAAAAAAAACAAAAAAAAAAACTCTCTCCCATTCTTTTCCCTTTGGTCTACAGCACTAAAGAAAAAACCCACCTGACGCCACCGCCATCAATTGTCAAGAGCCGGATGCCGTGCCCTTTGACCGGGAAGGTGTGGCCTAGCAACGCCAAAGCTTCTCGCGCTTCATACTCCACGTAGCGGTCGTTCGTTTTGGTCAAAATCCGGAGCAACCTTCTTATGCCTCCATTCTGGGATGAACCACGGAAGAAAAAAAATTAAAAAATATATATCTCAAAAAAGTTATCTCTTGCTAACCAATCTTCCTTGTATGATGATTAACAGCAAGTAAAATTCTGACTGTTACCTTACACAACTTGCTCAAATATACATAATAATATCTAAGAACTGGCCAAATATTCATCAATTACATATACAATTGCCATGAAACAAAAATGAATTCAGATGGTAACTTCACAATAACAATACATGACTCCAAAACTTTTTAAAATGGAGGAACATCTATAAATACAATTCATGACTTTATATTAACATGAACAATCAGAGTCACTTCCAAGCCAAAAAATAATTAAGTGGAACCCAATGTAGACCTAGATCTGCCTAATGTAACAAGGTACAAAATATATATGCTTAGTACATACACAATCAGAATATCTCAGTATGAACCAATGACAAAGCCATGATTTACAATACATGTTAACTAGCTTGGTGATAACTGCCTCTTATCATGCTTTGATAGTACCCATCCATTCATATATATTTTTCCTCAGACACCTAAACCATTCTTATTAAATTATCAATCAATCATAATGACTCAAAACAAATGAATACTACTACTACTAACCACCAAGACCTATGAAACGACTACACACTCATCCCCTGACTTATGACAAGAGGATGCATCGTGACAGGACTGACCTTGACAGCAACACCTTTGGCGTCAGGGTGTTGTCGCAGATGAACGCAAAGGTCCTCCAGCTTTCTTAGTCTCCCACCCTCTGTCAGGTGGTCTCCCAGGCCCCTCACTAGATATCTAGTCCTTGCATCGATGCTGGCCTGGGGGATCGTTTTAGTTGTTAGCGTTACTTAAAGAGAATGTGCCACTGTACAGTAGTAAATGGTTTTTCTATTACTGATGCTGATTTAGCTTTGGGAGAAATCGTATGCTTTTCCTGTGACCAAAATTCTGATAAAGAAATTATCTTTTTCTCAGAGTTTGTGTTTATAGATATACTTTTCCAAAAATGAATGGGAAATATTTAATTTTCTTTTCTTCTGTCTAATATAAAGATGAAGAATGATTCATTTCATACAATGATATTGCGCTATTACTTTACTGAATATAAGCAAATAATATATCTAAGAAGATGAAGACAAAGACAAACAATATAATAATAACAAGAAAAAGAAGAAGGAAAAGGAGAAGGAGGAGGAGAAAAAGAAGGAAAGAACAGAAGATGATCGAGAAAGAGAAGAAAAACAAAGGAGAAAGAGAAGTAGAAGGAAAAGAAAGAAAAAAAAGAGGAAGAAGAAGAACAAGAAGAACAAGAACAAGAAAACAAAGACAAAGAAAAAGAAAGGAAGAAAACAGCCTTACAAAAAAATATAACACCGACCTTCGAAATCTTATCTTTCTTAACCCTCCATTTGGGCAAATTCTTTTCGCTGCTCTGCGACTCGTCCCCCTTGGAGAAATTCAGCTTCACCTGCGAGAAGTACAGTGGAATGTAGGCGTTCACTGTCTTCATGGCCTTCTGGAATTCGCTTTGTCTCACTTCAGCAGTTTCTGTTTAGGTGAAAAAAAATAAGGATAATATCGACTAAGAATGTCACTGAAATCTATATGTTTTTTTTTATATCACGAAATCAGTTAAGACATTATAAAAGGATATGAACAATATGGCCTTTCATTCTTTCAAGACAAGATTAGAAGATGATGATGAAGAAAAAAGAAAAAGATGAAGAAGAAAAAAGAAAAGATAAAGAAGAAGAAGATGAAGAAGAAAAAGAAGATGAAGAAGAAAAAAGAAGATGAAGAAGAAAAAGAAGAAAATGAAGAAAAAAGAAGAAAATGAAGAAGAAGGTGAAGATGAAGAAGCAGAAGAAGGTGAAGATGAAGAAGAAGAAGATGATGAAGAAGAAAAAGAAGAAGATGAAGATGATGAAAAAGAAGAGGAAGAACATGAAGAAGAAAGAGAAGAAGAAAAAGAAAAAGAAAAAGAAAAGAAAAAGAAATAGAAGAAGAAAAAGAAAAAGAAGAAGAAAAAGAAGAAAAAGAAGAAGGAAACCAATATAAGACTCCCATCACAATACTTACCACTTGGTTTAGTCGCAACAGGGACTTTCTTGACCTCCGTCTCGCCTTCCGCATTCACCTCCTGCGAGCCTGAAAACGCCTGGAAAGGGTTGCGCACAATCTCGGGCAACTCCTTCTGTATCGTGCCGAGGGAGGGGGTGGTGCGCGTGAAGTAGTCGCGGAGCATCGTCATCAGTCGCCATTGCGTCACGCTGCTGCCCCCCGACGCCATCTTTCTGGCCCCCTCTATCGGAAATCAAGGGAGACAAAA